TCCTCCTCCTCCTCCTCCTCAGAAAGTCCAATTCCAAGACGCTCTCTTTGGATTCTCACACCCCTGCAACTCAAATGCTGAACCTCAGGAGCAACTCTCCCATTTGAAGACCGAGTGCCAGCGCTCACCTTCCTGACACAGCGCGCCCAGCAGGCTCGATAGAAGAAGAAGCCAGAGGAAAAGGGTCCCCATGTGGACGGGCAGCAAAAGAGGATGGAGAAGAGAAGACGGAATCCGGCTGTAGCTTGGAGAATTCCGCCTTTAACTTCCACCTAGAGTTTTATCCAGAACTGAAAGGGGTGGGCTGAAATTTCCTGCCAGTCCAGACGCAGGGGACTCGCACCGGCTTTTTCATTTTAAGAAAAGCCCTGTTTTCTTTTCCCTCCCCCCTTCTGCCCACCAGCTGATTTTTTTAAACTCTGTCCAGCCCCTTCTCTCCAAAGACCAAAGTTTGCTTAGCAGGACCCAGGCAGAGGTCTCTATTTTTGCAAGGGGGGGAGGAGAGATGCTCTTGTAATGGCTGGGCTGTTCTAAACCATGATTTTTCCCAAAGGCACAACCCAGGTTGCACCTTGCTGGATGGGGCCCCATTTTCTCCCATGCTTACAGGGTTCCTCCCCAGGCCATTCATTCCCTGCTGAACCATATAGAGCAGCGCTGGGTGGAACTGAATTTCAGAAACCCCGTGTTTAAAAGGCTTTAAGTGTTTACAGGTTTTAAAGTGTTTGAAGTTTAAGTGTTTAAAAGTTTAAACTTTTTGAACTTTTTGGATTTTTAAAACTTTTTAAACCTTTTAAACTTTAAGTGTTTAAAAGTTTAAAAGTGTTTCAAAGGCGGAAGTAAATTTTCAGGAGACCCTTGTACTCACCTCTAAGTATAAAATGTTTTCTCAGTTTCAAGAAAGCTGTATAGAAAGTAAGAATATCGATTGAGGACAATCTTCTTTGGGTATGTTCTCTTATGAATGCTCACCAATCTGAGTATCTCAGGTGTCAATTACTATATTCGAGAGGCCAGTAAATTAGAAGAAAGATTTTGTAGGTTTGGTAAATGTCATGGGAATTTGGTAATGGTAATCTTACGCTGAGATCTTGAAAATGTTCAGATGAGATCTTGGTTGGTTTTAATTAAAAAAAAAACAGTTTGAATTTTAATTTGTTTTGATTCAACACAATTTTAATTTGGGGGTCTGAGATTTTGACCAATCAGTTATCCAATAGTCTTAATACTGAGGATTAACCTTGGGAAAATGTTTATCCTGACCTTGGGTACTGCAAGGATTACAGATATCAAACACTTTTCATATGTTCATATCAATAATGACTGATAACATTGTGTTTTTAAACTTTGGGGCATCTCTGAATGCCTGTTGTTGGGAACAGAAATAGGTCAACTCTTCCAGTATTCTTAATTATTGTAGTATAAACTAGATCGAAGGTAGCTATCAAATTAGTACTGAGTTTTTGAGTTTTGGGAGGTTCTTTTTTTCCCCTAAAGAATACTATGTGCAGAGAAGAATTGCAGTTTAATAACTGAATTATTACAGTTACAGTATATAACACATTTGATTGAGTGACGTCCTGGCCCTACATGAGAATGATTTATTGACTAATGCAGGGACATCTATGTTGGGTCAGATCTTCAAGATGGCATCGTGGTGACAGGATTGAACCCCCCCCCTTTTGTATGTGCACACAATCAGTGGGTGGGGCCACTGTCTCGATGCCACGCCTGCCACCTTGCAGAATTGGACACACACCCCCTCTACAAACATCCCTGATCGACTGTAATTGGTGTTCTCTCTGTGGATCATAAAGATATACGCTATCAGGCAAAGTAATGAGACAAAGACCATGAAGAAAAGGAACAGAAAAGGTACATAGAAGATAAATGCATTGAATGACTCCAGTTGGTCTCGTGCCAGGGCGAGATTGGCACACAGCGATCGAGCCAGCTGCTATTTCAGCAGGCAAAGGTCAGAGTGACTGGCGAAAGGATGAGGTGATCACTGTTGGCCTGCCAGGGGTGTTGCAAGAAGTCAGGAATGAGCATTGGAAGAGGGCAACTCTTCCGAGTTGCAGCCAGGGTCTCTGTGGGGTATGGTCTCAAAAGTCAAGATGGCAAGCACCATCGTGTCATGGCTCCCATCGTGACTCTTTTGGCCATACCCCACTGACGCAGACCCCCCTGGCTTCAGCCATTAGCTGAACGGCAGAGAGATTTGCCAACAAAGGGATAAAAAAAAAGGAGTCTCACACACATTCTCTCACACTTACACACCTACACACTACCCTGGCTTGAGCTCTCCAAAGAAAGGCACTGAGACACAGCATTCATCAATCTGCTCTCTCTCTTTCGTTCTCCCAGATCTGCAGGGCTATTCCTTCATTTTCTCGCACAAAGGCTACCTGACCTTGGAGGTGGATCAACCTCGAGACCTTCTCCAAAACATCACCGTCTGCCTCTGCTCTTTCTCCGACTCACCGTCCAAACAAGCCCTTTTCTCGTATGCCACCAAAGATCAAGACAAAGAAATCTTGATTTATAAGAGTCGAGACTCGGATGGGTTTTGGTGGTACACGGTCTACATTGGTGGGATGGCTGAACGCTTTCGAATCCCAGATTCTTATCAGGCTTGGCAGCAGATCTGCATTGTTTGGGCGTCAGAGACGGGAGTGCTCACCTTGTGGGTGAACAAAAGACCCTTGGCCAGAAAGGTTGTACGGCAAGGCTATTTCATCAAACCCCATGCTTTGGTCCAGCTTGGACGAGCCCACCATGAGGACATTTTCTTCCGCGGAGAGATCCAACAGGTGTACATGTGGAATTACACTGTCCATGTGATCTCATCTTCCAATGATCTGTTCTATCTACCCTCCCTGATCAGCTGGACCAACATGAGCTACGTAAGTTATGGCAACGTGGCTCTAGATTACCTCTCCCTTCCGGAAAGTTTGTGTTACATCTGAATCTCCACCTCATGTCTTACTCCGATCTTATTGAATCATCCAAATCCATCCAGAGAACCAGTCAAAACCCAGGGCGTTCAGGTCACATTTGAATTCCCACTTGGACCTCTGCCAGTTCTGATTTGATCAGTTGAATCAGTTCAGGTAATTGAGTTGGTCTGATTTTTCCAAATTCATTTAGGAAAAGAAAGGTAGTTTGAGCTTGAAGATCTCTGATCTGACCATACCATTGGGCCTCAGTGGCTGGACCTTTGAATCAAATGGCCAAATTGAAGAAGTCACAGCTTTCACTCACTTTTGGGATTTCTTTGGGCCTCATATTTAGGGCTCAGCCATCCTGTCCTTTCTTTCTCACTCCCACATCTTCTCCTGTGTTTTTATATGCCTCAATCGCATGGTTACTACTCCAGGTAGTAAGCAGTAAATGAATTTATGATGTGCCTGCAATTAAAGCCAGCACAAACGTAAGATAAAAACAGCAATAATAGTATAACGTACTAATCAATTATAACATTGCAGTATTACTTCTAGACTAAGAGGTTCATAATATCATACTATAACTATCTATACATTAATAACTTTTTGAAGGCCCAAGGAATAAGCCTTTTAGTGCTTTTGAAAGCTTTACGAGATCAGAGTACAAGGGTAATCCTGGGCAAATCAACACCAAAGAATCAGAGACAGGTTGAGAAAAGATGTACTAAAATGCTTAACAACCCAGGAACAAGATTTTCCTCCCAAATGCAGAAAGTAAGAGGCAGCCATTCCTCAGTCAGTGATTTTAGAGCCCCCCAAAATTATCCCCAAAGAAGAAAACAGTTTGCAACATATACAAACATAATTCTGATTTCATATGCCCCAGAAGCAAACATCAGGTCCATGGCTTCCTACAGGCCGGTACAAAAAAATTTAAAATCCATCCTTTAATGATGTGGGAATCATAGATAATCACATGGTGACATCACAGACGTGCCCCAAATGGTATCCTTTGTGATGATCTGCATAACACACATCATGTCATTGTGGCTGGTACGGTAGGAACCTCAAAAATCTGAAGTTGGAACATGTCCTTAAGATCTGAGAACCTATTGAAGGAAGTAAAGAGGATTGTGAAGTTCTCCAGATGTTCCTGGGTTACAATTCCCATTAACCTTCATTGCTGAGCAGAGTTGGCTGCGAGTGAGTGGCATTTGAGTCCGACAATCTGAAGGGACACGATTTCCCATCCTGATCCAAGCAGAAACTTTACATCACAGGGATGCTGGGGGCGGAAAATTTCTGAAAACAGGTTGACTACCTACATGCAGATATGGATGGTCAGAACTGTTTAGAACAACATTTAATACAGTACATTGAAGAGAAAAATGATTCAAAGGACCCACGTTGGTGCAAAGAGATGTGCCAAGGGAAAGTTGCAACCTGTCGTTGTAGAGAGTGGACCTTACAGAATCCATCATGGATTGGAGTGGCTCCGAGGAGTAGACATGGCGAAAAAATGGTGCCCCAAATGCAAAGTCCGTGGCTGAGGAACAAAAGGTCAGGCAAGATCTTGAGGATCTGAAAGCAGGTGGTTGTTTTGACCTGCTGGAGCGACAGGATGAACTACCTCTCCATTATGGTAGTTCCAGGCGATGGTCTCTGTGGCAGTTTATTTGCATACGTGCATGGCTGATGGTTGCAAATTTGCTGTTCTAATGGGCTGTAATAAACTCATCAATATATAACACCTTCACCCAGCGCTGTGTTTTCAACTGGAATTGCAGAGGCAACTTGAAATCCCAAGGACGTGTGCAGCCTCCAAATTGTGTGTGTGTGTGTGTGTGACATTTTGTGGATTTGGAGTATATTTATGCATGTTACAACTCATGGAGAGGAGGAGGAGGAGGAGGAGGAGGAGGAGAAGGAGAAGGAGAAGGAGAAGGAGGAGGAGAAGGAGAAGGAGAAGGAGAAGGA